TGTAATATTAATAACATTGTATTTTTTTTAATTCAGAAGCATATATAAAAATGGAGCACCTTAATAACCACCCTAGAGATAGCTGAAGTAAAGTTTGATGTCAGTCCTTTCCCCGTTAATTTTAAAAAAAATCAGTTTTCATTGCACCATTCTTTTTGTTTTTTAAGGTTTTCTTTTTTGTTTTGTTTTTTAATCACACTGTCTTAAAACTACTTTTTATTCCCCTGGTTTTCCTTTCTGTGAGTGTTTTTTCCCCTGTGCATTCAAACCATACCCTTTGTCCTGCAATGTGTTTTCATTTGCCAGTCCTGCAGATGCTCTTGCCTGTAAGTGCTCACCTTTACTTGCCTTTTTGATGACGTGTCTGTCTCCCCCCCAGACCCAGAAGCATCTCGAGGGCAGGGTCCGGGTCTGACTCGTCTCTGTGTCCCCTACGCCCAGCCTGGGTCTGGCCACAGAGTAGGTGGCAACATGGTTTACAAGAAGAATGAATGAATGGGTGTGACTGTGGGTTTTGGATCCATCTTGGGGGCACTGTGGAGGGTGGGGTATCCGGGGGGGAGGAGTGAGACTGGTGGCAGGGAAGACTCTGCCAGGAACCTGCTGGTGATGGGGCACAGGCCCCATGGGAGGAGCTGGGACGATCTGGTCCATCCAGTTTTTAACCTCCACTTTTGTCTCCCTAGCGATGGTAGACGTGATCTTTGCCGATGTGGCCCAGCCAGACCAGACCCGGATTGTAGCCTTGAATGCCCACACCTTCCTACGTAATGGAGGGCACTTTGTGATTTCCATTAAGGTATGGGGCTTGGAGGAGCCTAAGATGGGGCGGCGGTATCTTCTCTAACTGTCAAGCAGCCAGTGAAAATAAGGGGGCCTTAACCACCTAATGCCATCAGTCTATTCTCACCCTCTGTCCCTACCCAGCTTATACAGCCACCCAATGAAATAGCACATAATGAAAAATGTCTGCAAAATGAAAAAGCTTACTATTTAAATGAGGCAGTAAACTGTAGTGGTTAAGTACGTGATCACTGACTCTTGAGTATCTGAATTTGAATTCCAGCTTGCTGTGTGGCTTTGAGCAAGTTACTATACCTATGTGCCTCTTTCTTCACATGTGAAATAGCAGCATTAGCTCTTTGTCTTTTACTGTTGATATAAGGACTAAATTTCTCAACATATAAAGTGTATAAAGTGTTTAGAACAGAGCCTGGCATAAATACCAGATAAATGGTAGGTAAATTTTTTAAAACATTTTATTTCGAAATACAGAGACTTCTCCAGTGTACGCTTCAACTTAATTCACCATTCCTTAGCCTTTTGCTGCACTTTAGTATTCTCAGCTGCATTATTGCTATTGTTAAAGGAGAGGAAGTAGGGGAAAAAAAAACTAGAGTGTAAAACTTAAACACTGGCTTTTAGATAAATAGGGCTTCCTGTTCCAAACCCAAACCAAATTGAAAACTTCTCTAACAAAGTCTTTCCCTACATTTCCAAAGCCTGAGTCTCCAATAAAAAATTTTACTGGTTTAAAAGAGCACAAAAAAGGGAAAGCAGCCCAAGGCTTTGCTGCAGACTTAAATCCTCTCTTCTGCAGGCCAACTGCATAGACTCCACAGCATCTGCCGAGGCCGTGTTTGCCTCTGAAGTGAAAAAGATGCAACAGGAGAACATGAAGCCTCAAGAGCAGTTGACCCTAGAGCCATACGAGAGAGACCACGCTGTGGTTGTGGGTGTGTACAGGTGAGCAGAGATCTCTGTCCCCTGAACCTAGAACCGCCGAAGTCAGCACTTGTTACGAGTGCCCCAAAGTGGTGACAAGCTGAGTCTGCTCATCTCTTTTCCTCCCACAGGCCACCCCCCAAGGTGAAGAACTGAAGCCCAGTACCATCTGGATCCCGAGAGATTGTGTTGCTACTGTTACACGTGTGTTTTTCTATTAAAAGACTCATCAGTCGCTCGGTTTGCCCCTGATTCCTTGGCGACCTGTATTAACAGGGTGCATGCGCCCTTGATCAACGTGCTCGGTGGTGGGGGCGGGCATCGGCAGCCAGTCACACAGCGCATGCTCTTTTCTTAGCTCCCTCCTGCGCAGCCGTAACGTGGATTTTGGCGCTTGGGCGGGGTTGGTAGCTCACTGCGCTTGGATCCCGGTAAGCTCCTCTGGACGCAGGCGCAGAGTGTTGCCCTGGATCACGTGAGGGGAAGCAGCTGGGGGGGCGGGGGCGGAGCCGGGGGTGGGGGGGCCGGTTTGTTGTGGTCGCCATTTTGCTGGTTGCATTACTGGGTAATCGGGGCCCTGGCTCGCCGCGTCCGCCGGATACCTTCAGCCAGTGAGCAGGTCGGAGCTCGGGCTTCCCGAGCAGTTTGAGTTCCCTTGCCCACGCCCTCAGGTAACGACGTGGCAACGGTCGGTCGGATGGTCGGGGCCACACGCGGTCGTTGTGAGGGGGACAGTACGGGACCCGCCCTGCCCGCGTCGCCGCAAGACTTAGCACGAGGCCGAGGGAGGAGAGGAGGGGGTGGCAGGCAGGTGCAGGCCTTGCCTGGCTATTCATAGTCGGATTCCTGGAAGAGGCCAAGCCGGAGGGAGCAGTCTTGGGAGGGAGGCTGGGAGGGGGTAGTGGGGCCCCTCTCCCGCCCTTTGTTTGGGCTTGGCTCCGCCGGCCGCATCGTCGTCGCCTAGCAACAGCTGTCCTGGACTGTGATTGGTCGAGCTCTTGGCATCAGAGGCCAATGGCACTGTTGTTGCCATGGTAGGTGTGGACTGCCAAGCTCAGTCCCACCCCGCCCGACTGGGCTTCGCTGGCCGGGGCGGTCCCGCAGGGTTGGGGGCGGGACGCCGGGGTCCCCAGGGGCGGGTGGCTCTGTGGGGCGGGGCTGGCTGGGTGAGGGTTAACTTCCCCCTCCCCCGTCCACCTGCTTTCCC